CTTTGCTATAATATAGGTTTATTAATGATGTTTCCAAATGATGTGATTCTGATGACATATTGCAGATGAGTTGTTTGAGTTTTCATACATTAACCTGATGGAGGAGGCCCCATCTGTGCAGGCTGCTGCGTACACGATAGCTGAACCAATTTCCTGAAGCTTATCAGGTGTGGGCTGCAGGGGCAGGACGTACCTGTCCCCAGCCGTCGCCTCCTGTCACCACTCGCAGTTTGTTCTCAAGGTTTTTCAGGTTTGTTGGAGTTTAATTCTGGTCCTCAGTCTGGGTTATCTCTGTTTTGATCTCTATAGATTTCCTCAATCCTTTGAGTCTGTTTGTATTAGCGTTTGCTGGTCCTTGGTGTTCCCTCTGGATCTCGTTGCCCTCCTGTTCCCCTGATTAGTCCATAGTCCAGTCTTCCCTTCACTTTGGATTGTGCAGGTGTTGTGTGTCCCTTGGGTTTCTACGATTTTATTAAATTTGGTGACATGTTAAATAATCCAAGTCAAGTTTTCCAGGCTTCTAGTTTTGTGTCTTTGTGTTTTTTCCAGTCTTTAATCTTCGGTTTCCTCCTGTGTGACCTTTGGGTGTGTTTTAGATCTTTTTGTCATCCCCTCGCTGGATTTGTTTCACTCACTGATTACTTGTGTGCGACCTCTGCCTGGATAAAGGATTTGGATTTTACTGTCTGCCTCCAGTGCGTTCTCTTTCTCGTGTTCCTCGCTCATAACCTTTTCAGCGTGGGTGGCCTGATGGTTGGACACGCCCAAAACGTACCAACAAGGAGGTGTTTGGGTGCAGCCGCAGCAGATACTGAAGCACTGAGGTGGATCCTGTCCATGTGAAATATGAAGCACAGCTTCAAGTTCCTCCTGAATCTCTAACAAGGCGCCCACACACCTGTGACAGGAAGGTCATTTCTGCTCCATCTTATTCTTTCAGTCACTACCCACAGATCGTGCTCATGGGTGGGCGTGGCAACGTAGCTAGCTGGCAGCTAGCTGTACTACAGCCTCGCTGTCACAGCAAACCAGTCTGCACTCTCCCCGACACACGAACAAAGACCCAGAGATACCTGAACTCCTCCACTTGAGGTAGCAACTAATTGTGAATCCAAAGAATTACCGCCCCATGAAGCTCCACCCTAACGTGGTGTATGGTTCTGACTAGGGATGCACCGATACCGATACTGGTATCGGGTATCGGGGCCGATACTGTAAAATGTGTGTGTACTCAT